ATCTATGGGATATTAAAAAAGGAATCTTCAAGTATATTGTCAACAGTAGGAAAAATTGTTATAAATACATATTATTAATAACAGTTATGAGATCATATAATTGTGAATGTATATATGAAATTGATAAAATAAAAAATAATAAATAAATAAATAAAAATTTAAAAAAAGCATCACAGAATGGCAGGGTTGGAAGGGACCTCGGAGGTCTTCTAGTCCAACCCCCTGCTCAAGCAGGAGACTCTACATCCAAGAGTGGGATTCAGCCGGTTCGCATTGGTTTGGCTGAACTGGTTGCTGCAAGAACTGGCTGCCTCCCCCCTCCCGGGGTCTCCATGTGGCCTGTTCGTCCTGCTAGTTAAGTGCAGAGGCTCTGGGACGGCGAAAAACGGGCCTCCCGGAGGTCCAAAAATGGAGGGCTTCCAGAGCCCCCAGGAGGCTGCTTCCGCCCTCTGGGAAAGCCTCCAGAGCCTGCGGAGGACAAAAACGGGCCTACTGGAAGTATCGGAAGTCTGAAAACGGGCCTGTCTCCGGCCCCCGGAGGGTCTCTGGAGCCTAACTTTTTTTTCCCCACAAGGTGGGTCTGGAAGAACTAAAACAACCCCCCTCTACGTCTCTAACCTTATTTTTTCTCTTTGAAGTTTTATATCAACATATATTTTATTCTTTGTGCTGTTTTCCACCTTCCCTTAATAGAATAGAATTAATAGAATCCCCCACCCCAACGGACGGAGAATTAGCGTCTCCACTAGATAACTGATGATGAAGATGAACCTAAGTTAGTCAAGTCAACATAGCAAAACGGAGGAAAATCTTTTACTCAAACGTCCGCAAATCCCACCCCTCAATCCGCATATCAAAAGACGAGGCCTGCAAACACAATAAGAGTCTGTTACGGTTCACCGACAAAATCGCGCCTGACAAAAGCGCGCCCGACTAAACCACGGTGACAAAACCGCAAATTCTGAACCACGCCGACGAATGAGCACTGAATCACGCCGACAACAGTGCGCTGACAGAAGGGCGCTGTAAACTTAAACCTAACCCTAATCCTAACCCTAACCCTAAAACTAACTCTAACTCTAACCCTAACCCTAACCCTAAAACTAACCCTAACCCTGACCCTAACACTAACCCTAAAACTAACCCTAACCCTAACCCTAACCCTAACCCTAACCCTAACCCTAAGCCTAACTCTTACCTTAACTTAAATCGCCCTTCTGCCGACGCGCTGTTGTAAATCGCCCTTCTGTTGATGCGCTGTTGTCGACGCGCCGTTGTCGGCGCGTTGATGACATTGCGGTTTTAGCGACACGGTTTTGTTGGCGCGTTTTTGTCGGGTCACGGTCTGTTACATTAGGTTTCCCAGCAGAACTGCATGCTCACAAGAACAAGCACCTATACGCACACACATGCAAACGCTCCTGAAGTGTCACCCTAAAATCATCCCATAGGAACACTTTCACACCCCAGCCAAGCTCTCCCCCGCCGTGAAAATCTGTCGCCGTACCCCATTTTTCTCTGCACCTGCCCTTAAAGACAAACTGTTTGCTTTCGGGAATGAATATTTTCTCCCTTTTCTCACCGGATCTCGTTTTTTGATATGCTTGCTGGCTCAACACCCCATCCCCAACCCCGAGCTAGGGTTGGAACCCCAAATTCTTCTTCCGACAACCACGATTTCCAACATCTGGGATAAGCGTCACCACTTTCCCCAAGATCGCAGTGAAAAACATGCTCCGTTCTTGGAAGGGTTTGCCCTGGAGTTAAACTGCTCGAGAAGTAAATTAGAATAAATTCGGGAGAATCGCCACGGGATTTTGGAGTGCCAATGAAGTGTGTAAAGACTCCCAGATGTCTCCGGCTACTGGGAGACGCACCGTCTGTGGCACGCACACTTCTTTTTTTGCTCGCTCGCAGCACTTGTCAGACTCCTGTTTCCCGAACCTCTGGAAGGACAGACACAGGTGAGGTGGGATGGGGACAATTCAGCGTCCCCCCCCCGGAGAGGACGCGCGTGGTTAGGAAAGACTGACAGCTGTTTAAGATAGCGTCGTTTCGGTGGCAGGCGAGGAAAGGGACAAAGCCAGGAATAACCTTGGAGAGAGGACAAAACCATTTTTAGGCTGGGAACGCGGGTGTCAGCCGCAGGGAAGGTCAAACCTGAATTAAAGTGTTCTCATTCCCCATCCGTTGCCCTGTCCTGTCCTCGCATTTCGAACCACATCGAATGCCGCGTGCAGCGAAGGTGACTTGGGTACCAAAACGTTGCTGTCGGTTTGCTCAGGAGAGATTGTCCTCCAAACAGCATCTCCGGGAGCCCCAAGAGTAAAAATCAAGTTGTTTCTCCGCTCCACTCTCAAAAGGGAGCCCATGACTTCAGCCGGGGGTGCCAATCAAAGTCACCCTTGGAACAAGAGAGAGATTACTTCCTCGTCTTTTGTGTTTTGTGTATCCCAAATGTTAGGGTCAAAAAAAACCCCGGTCTGAAGTCCCTTTTTTCAGCGCCGTCGTAATTCCACACCGTCACTAAATGAACTGTTTGTGGAGCGGTGCAGTGGCCTAGAGGCGGAGCTCTCGCCTCACAAATCAGGAGGCCGTGGGTTCTATCCTAGGTAGAGGATGATATTTCTCTCTCTCTCTCTCTGGGCACAATGAGAATATATCTGCTGAACAAAACTCTGGATTGGCAACAGGAAAGGCAGGCAGCCACTAAATGCTCTGCTAATTCTATTCAGTTGCCCAGATTATGGGGTAGTTAAATGATGACGATGATGGTGAGGATGACTAAATGAACTGTTTGTAAGTGGATGGGCCTTACTTACTAAGACTATCTGTTGCGGCTGCCAGCGGCCAGGGGAGCTGGCAGCAGATTCGGACAGTGAAGAGTTGGAGGAGGAACATGGGCCAGTCCTGGAGTCTGGGGAAGGCTCTGATGAGGCCTCTGTGTCGGAGGCAGAGATGAGGCCAGAGCCTTCTGCCAGTTATCAGCTGCCTTCAGAGTCAGACATCAGTGAGGCAGAAGAACAGCTGGAGCCTGTTCCCAGTGTGCGCATGCACAGAGTTGCCAGACGAAAGGAACAGCTAAAGAACAGGGGCCGACTTGGGAGTAAGGCCACATGAATGACCCCTCCCAGAGGAAATAAAAGAGGAGGGAAAGGGGAGTGGAGTTTGCAGGAGGCAATTAGTTCACTTCATTGGTTCGGGACTCTCCGAGATTCCTTGCCAGGTTTTGCAGATATTGTCCTGTCAGCTCTCCAAGCGAGATAAGGTCTGTGACTGTAAATCCTCCTTTGAAAGACTTTGCTGGGTGTGAATGAGCAGAATTCACAGTCAATTAATAAAAGGGTTTTTTGTCAGGACCAGGAGTTTGCTTCATGCTCTCGGGAAGTCTCAGTCAGAACACCGTACTGTGAGATGAATTTTTTTGCCTCTCTTCCCACGCCGAATTCGAATCCAGCAGAAGACACACCATACCACACTTTAAGAAAACTTGAAGATGGGAGCTGTGATAGGCTGTGGCATCAAATTCCACCCCCTTTGGATGAAAACATCTCAATGTCCCCTTTAGAAAGAGAATTGAGCATCTGACACGGGCCCAGACCTGCACTCTGAGGCGTGCAACCTAATGCGGTTTCTTCTCTCAAATCTTGCTCCGCGTCCCCGAGAAATATAATCCTTACCTCCTCCGCGTCACCCTCCCCTCTGCCTCCTCCAGTTGACCCTCCTCTCCGCATCCGAGCAAAGGGGCTCATCCTTTAAATGCTCTCCTCCCTTCTCTTTCTATTTTCTTTCCAAAATGGCTCTCCAGGACGTTGTCAGCACGAGGGACCCTTCACAAGCGCCTCCCTGGGTTCAGCTGTCGCCCGGTGGGCCCGAGTTCCCCCGTCCCTTCCTGCTGTCCCATGGCACCACCACGCTAGCCTTCCGCTGCAGCCACGGGGTGGTGGTGGCAGCAGACACACGCTCTTCCTGCGCGGGTCTGGTGTCCGATCCGGCGTCCCGCAAAGTCATCACGCTACACCAACATCTTCTGGCAACCACATCGGGGACGTCGGCCGACTGTGCTACCTGGCTGCGGCTCCTACGTTCTGCGCTCCGCCTGAGGCACCTTTCGGAAGGGCGGCAACTCAGCGTGGCTGGGGCAGCCAAGCTGCTCGCTCTCATGCTGCGGGGATGCGCCCACAAGGATCTCTGCGTGGCCACTTTGCTCTGCGGTTGGGATCACCACGGACCCGGCTTACACTATGTCTACAGCGACGGGACCCGTTTCTCCGGGGACGTGTTGGCTGTGGGGTCCGGATCGACTTACGCCTACAGTGTGCTGGATGGCACCTATCGGTACGATCTACCCCGGGCGGAGGCGTTCTGGCTGGCTCGCCAAGCAGTGGCTCACGCTGCCCACCGAGACGCCTATTCCGGCGGCAATGTGGATCTCTACCACGTCCGGCCCAACGGGTGGGTCTGCGTGTCGCGGGAAGATCTGAGTCAGGTTTATCGGGGCTTGGAGTTCCGCGATGAAGAGGACGGAGACGGCGGAAAGGATGCCCACGAAGAGACCAACTAGCACCCATCTTTCCTGCGTGAGCAGCGGGCTGGACTAGAAGACCTCCAAGGTGCCTCCCAACTGTTATTCTATAACCCTTTAGCAGCAACCACACAATTTATTTTGATCAAAAAAATCCATTGTTCTCTACGATTTTGAGCGTGGAAAATGCCATGGATTGATTGTTCGGTAGGGAAGGGAACCTGGGTGCGAAATAAACCAGCTTGAGCGATATCAGCCTGGCTTCTTTTGTTCGGCTCCAGATCAAAGTGGGATCTCTTTCAAGGAATCGCGGGGTCTCCAAAAATGAAACCATTACCTGACATGGAGGGGAATCAACACAAGCTCAGTGGCTTGAGCCAACGTAAGCCAGCATGCCCCTCACATAAGGTAGTCAATGTCGGAAAGGAACAGATGGCCACGTCGCATCCATTAGAGGAAGCCGGAGGCCAGTATAAACCAGGATAGAGGACAGGCCACGCTGGTTCCGAGTCTTGCCATAAGCAAAGGAAACTCGGGGGGAGGGGGGGAAACAGACGGACGAGATCAGTTAGCCAAACTGGGTTATGGGACAAGCAACTCAGTTCCCTCCGAAAGCTGGTTGGGAGAGGAGGCTGGGTTCACGAGGTCCTCACTTTGTGTGAATCGGGGATCTTTAGATGCCCTCCGACGGGAGCAAAAATGCGGGATGTTGCCATTCCCAAACGCAAGCTGGCCAACCAGCAAGGTTAGATTCACACACTCAATGCCGACCCAGGTTAGTTAGCTAGTGAGTTTATTTCGGAATCTTGCACGAACTCAGACAGAAGGCACGGTGTCTTGCACAAATCCTGCAAAGGTGACAAAACGGAAGCCAGCCGGCCTGCCCTCCGCTTCTTCGGGGCGTGAAAGGGGGGCAATGGATCCCCCAACTGGGGGGGGGGGTGTCTGCTCCCACGCCGGGTCTCCAGGACTGCAAAGAAGGGAGGGAAGAGCTAGGAAGAGCCCCCCCTCAGGGGAGGGCCTGCCTTATTTTTTTTGCAGGGGGGGGGAAGTGGTGGAAAGAATAGGATGCTGTCTGTCTCCCCCCCCCCCCAGTGGTCGTGATGGGCTGGGCTCGGAGTGTGTGTGTGGGGTGTCTAAGCAGGCCAGCCTGAAGCTGATTGCTATTCCGGGTACGCGCTGCGTTTCAAGGCTGGCGCGCCACGGTCTGTCACTATCTTAATTGGCATCTCTCGTGCACAGCTAGGCTGGCATTTTTTTAGAAGGGGGTGATGGCGGCTCGGCTGCCAACCTGCCCGGCTTTCTCTTTAGTCCGCCACTCTCTACCCCCCCCCCCGTGTCGTGTGGCCCCCACTCCCTTCTGCTCATCCCTGGCTGGCTTTATAGCTCTCCTTCCTTCTTTCCTTCCTTCCTTCCTTCCTTC